GGGGCGCGGCCGCGGCCCCCCCCCCCCGCCAAGCCTGCCGTGCTGACGTTTTGCCGCCGCGTCGCTCGTTTGTGTTCACGGTCTGTACGCGGCGCGTGGGGGATTTGAGGGAGCCCCTTGAGCTTTGTGAGCTAAAAACATCACCGCTCCCCCCCCCCACCTGCGGGGAGAAAATCCCCAAGAAGAGAGGCCTAAGGCTACGGTCGTGAGGCGGCTTTGGAATTCCCGTTCGGAGGCGGGGATCTCTGTTTTGCCGCCGCGTCGCTCGTTTGTGTTCACGGTCTGTACGCGGCGCGTGGGGGATTTGAGGGAGCCCCTTGAGCTTTGTGAGCTAAAAACATCACCGCTCCCCCCCCCCACCTGCGGGGAGAAAATCCCCAAGAAGAGAGGCCTAAGGCTACGGTCGTGAGGCGGCTTTGGAATTCCCGTTCGGAGGCGGGGATCTCTGAGGAAGCGGTGGGAAGGACAGCCGGTGGGCAGTCAGAGTGGCGCGGGTGATGCCATAAGGAGGGTCAGGTGCCAAAGAGGTCAGGATCCGGCCACACAAGAGGCTGCCGTTGGGAAGGTCAGTCTGAGGAGTGTGGCAGGAGGGAGCACTTTGGTGGGGTGAACAGAGAGGCCGAGGCCAGACCCACGCGCCCGTGGCCTGAGTGAGTCTGACCCAGGCCCCAAACAGGGCTGCATTAAAACAGGCTCTCGACGCAGGAGGTCGCAGCCTGCAGGGATGGCGTGGGGACAGCGCCCAGGGGGTCCCACCGCCCTCCGCACTCCCCTAGGGCTAAAGAAGAGCGGCACCCTGGCTGGACGGAAGGGATCAGGTCTGCGATGGGGGCCGAGAACGCCGCATTGCGACAGGCTTTCTGAGACCTCGGTGGTTTTTCTCGCTCATGCATGAGCCGAGGGGCTTTGTCCGTGTGGCTGAAACCATTCCCGGGCTCCTATTTGCTCGGCTGGCCCCTTTCATGCCGGCTTGTGTCGGGTTCTTTCATCGCCGGGGCTAATTTACTGAGCTGCATAGAACTGGAACAAAACTGCAGAGCTGCCAGATTCTCC